CTTTTGTGAACTGGCACTATGTAAATGAAATTTGCTCAATTTAATGCACATTATCTTGTTTTTTTGGTATATGTGCTCTTTAATCTATGAGTAATATACAAAATATACTCATGATTTTCTTGGTTATTTATGTTAATATTTTCTCAGTTGAACAAAAGTCACCTGTTGGCTGATACCTGATCGGTACACAGTACACTAGCCTTTCATAAAGCAGTAGAGCTACAGTAGGACAAATTCACAAACGGCTCCAAGTGTCAATATGTGCTGAAATATTGTGACAACATGATTTACGGGACATTGTAATTCCCGAGTGTTGCTTCATCCTGGATTAAGTTTGCAGTGACTCATCTGTCGAGCTTTGTCAGGTGGCACAAGGCAAAAAGTACGCTAATGATGTTGCATAATCATTTATACTCTTCGGGGCGTGCGAGCATGACTTTGTAGTATCTGAATCAAACCTGTGTATGATTCAAAAGATACACTAATGAGTGTTTAAATACTACGGAGCAATGTTTGTATAAATATGACCATGTTTTTACATGCCTTTTGCCTTTGACTGTTGACCATCAGCAGCAGTAGTAATGGGCAAAGAAACATACCAGCATAGGCAAAGAAAATTAAGGTGACTAAACATGAATATAAAAAATGAACATATTTCTGTTTAGGGAAGGAAAAGCATTCAACACAACTGTGAAGCTGACTTGTTCGCTTGGATGACTTACCTCAACTATGGTAAACACTTTTATTTTAATTTACTGTTGGAAACATTTAATGTAATTGTTGGCTGTGAAGAATTATTCTTCATATTTTATAGATACAAGTTCCATAAAGCTCTGAGGACTTACTCTGTTTCACGTATGCACTGGGTGCCATTCCAGCCACAGTAAGGATCTCTGGATAACATACAGTCCTGGCAGGTGTCTCCATACTGGGAACAGTCTGCTACATCAAGTTGGACCAGTTGACTTCCATTGTTCACATAGAGCTTTTTCTGTAACGATGGACAAGTTTTCTTAATGTACTGGGGCTTTTTCATAAAATTCATTGGATAAATTTTTTTTGAAATGATTTCAAAATTATTGATTAGATGCTACAGTAGATTCTTTAGGAGATAAAATTGTTAATTTTTCCCCTTTCGTCCACAAAAACCATTTATTCCATATGAGTAATCTTTGTGGTTTGATTGGGACATTGGTTACACAGTGATCATTGTTACTCACAAAGGTAGACTGAAGGATGATGCTGAGAACATGTGCTTTTTGTTTGAATGGTTGATACTCAGCAATTACAAAGGTGTGACTTTCATTCTGCAGCACCTTGTGAATCCCTCCATTATCTGTGGAAAGACACAATGGGGGTGAGGGGTGAGGGAGGAAATGACTAACAGTTAAAAACTGTAACCACTCTAACCCACCTCTGCCATCCCACTCACTCTCTGGATCTGTTACCTTATATGACACTACATTTTGTCTTCAGAACCTGTATAAACTCATCAAATAAATGTGTTAACCAGTGACTAACTGTGATCTCAGCACCACACACATCACAAGGCGCAATCCACTGTGTATAGTAGCCTGTGGGGTAGTCATTCAACAGTCACATCTAACTCATCACATACTTTAATACTCTTCTGATCATATTTAGAAAAGGCTGACTTAGTATTCACGGAGGTCAAAGTAAAAACAGCGTGCATTGACTCAACATGTTATTTTAAGGGGAACTGGAGTAAAAGGAAAACCAAAAGTGTCACGCCCTGCAGAAGGGAGTAGACGACACATAACAGGGACAGAGACTGCAACTAACCAAAAATCTAAACTGGAAAAACACTAACCTGACTGAAAGGAATAACTATGATCACTGTGAACAGAATGCTGTGCAGATGCATGGAAACTGTGAACCAAATGGCGTGACGAAACAGACATGAACATGACTTGCACGGAACCTCATCGTGTGGCTGCATGAAAAACAACATAAACCAAATGGCAAACATGAACTGCACAGAATCCTGAAAAACAGGTACACAGACGACGCGACGACAAACAAAGGAAGACTGAGGACTTAAATACACACATGAGGTGATCAGGGGAAGTGGAGACACATGAGAACACAGCTGACTCGAATGAAACATAATGACAATACAGAGGAGAGTAACACTAACTACAATGAACAAAGGTCGTGTCCAAATTCATGGGCTGCATCCTCCTGAGGACCCGGCCTTCGCGGTCTACGTGGGCCGGGTCCTCAGAAGGTCGGGTAGGCCGGAAGTAAACGGCCGTGAAATTGGACGGTCTAGCCTTCTGATTAGCCTCACCGCTGTCTCGGTGGAGTTTAATAAACTC